GCGGCGGCGAGGGAGGGCGGCGGCTTGGCCTCGTGAGGCTGCAGTCAGGGGCCTCTGGCACACGAGAGGCAGTGTGAGGCACCGTGACGCCCAGGATAGGGGTTCGAAATTGAGATTGGGGGGCCGCGGACTTGGGGCACAGCGGGGGGGCAGGGGCTTGGCATGGGGGGCGCAAGCCTGCAGGGCTGGGCAGCTGCCGTGCCAGTGCGGGGCACAGAGAGGGCAAGGCAGAGGCCAGCCAGGTCCGAACGGAGCTCGGCCAGTGGCCACTGCGCCCAGACCCCGAGCCCAGGTTGGAGCAAGGTGGACAGGAGAGAGGCCGGGGAGGGGCCGAGGAGAGGGGTGCCGTGAGGCTGGAGTAGGAGGGGGCCTCAAGTCCGGCTCTGGCACGGGGACCCCCGAGAAGACGGAGACTGAGCCTTAGAAGGAGTAGCAAGGAGAGGTTCCAGGCACAGTGACTTTAGATTTGGGGGAGAATGACATGGCACCCCTGCGGGCGCGTCTCTTCCCTCCAGCCGAGCGGCCCATCAGGACCCAGGGCACCGGGGGAGCGAGACCCTCCTTGGGCAGCCGGGCAGGCCGGTCTGGGACGGCCACGTGCCGCGCACTGCCCCCGACAGCGCCAGGGAGAACTTATTTCAGCGATGGCCCCACAAAGAACACCCCCGTTCTCGCAAACGGGGAAAGGGAGGTTAGGAGGCGGGAGCCCGTGGGATGCTGCATCCCAGAAAGAGCTAAATCAGGGCGCCGCCAGCTAGGAGAGAGAGAGAAACCCCAGGACGGCTTCGGCGCTTCCGAGCCGGTAACGCCCAGCCGGCGCAAGCCGAGGGTGAGGGGCACACGCTGTGTTCCTGCTGCTCCCGCGCCACGTCAGCCCTGCGGGCGCCGCCGCTGAGCGGCCCGGCTGGGGCGCACAGCCGTGTGGGCGCTCTTCCCGGGTGGCACCCGGGGACCCGCCGACGTCGATCCAGTGGCCAGCCTGGACCTGGCCCCGCACAGGTGGCCCTGCCCTGGCGAGCACGGACTTGGCCAGGGCAGCCCAGAGGGAGGCTCCTTTGCAGTCCCCCAGGGAGTCCGCCCTGGGTCCTGTCCCGGTTTTCTGGCCGTGTAAATGGAAGCTTGTGTACGTGTCTCTTCCCCCAAATTTAGTGTTTCGGGTGAACACCAGGAGGCTACTTTCACCGGATCCCCGCCGTGTGCGGGCCAGATAAGCTGGGATGGATGACGGAGGCAAGATTTGGGGTGATGCGTTCAGGCTGGAATGTTGGACTAAAACCAAGTAGATGAAATTTCACAGGGATTGATTTCAAGTTCTGCTTTTGGTTAAAAAAAAAAAAGCCAAGGCAGCTCTATAGGAAGGCGGGTCGCCAGAGCAGCAGGCCCTGCAGAGAGGCGGGGTGGCCGCCCTGTGCGGTTGGGGTGCTCCTGAGGGCCCTGGGCACTGCCTCCCTGGACCTGAGCTCATGGGGCCGCCGGGCCTGGGTGACTCAATGGGGGCCGTGGTTAAGGGTGACGTTGATCAACAGAGGGGACGGCAATGGTGAGGACAGGCGTCCGGGGGACATGGGACTCGGAGAGCAGGAACCAGAGGGTGTCCTGGAGCCATATGGAGATGTCTGGGGGTGTCTTGCAGCATTGGGGACTTATCCAGTTCTCCCCTTGGACAGCTGAAAACCGGGGTGTGTGGCTGCAGGCGGTAGGTGGAAGGAGCCCTCTCTGCAGGTGGCTGCTTTCGGGGGGCGGCCGGAGGGCAGAGTGCATTGTGGACAGGGAGTCTCCAGTGCCTGCAGGTTTCAGGAGAGACTTGGTGGTCTTCCCAAGACTCAGTGCTCCCCACCTGTGTCAGTCACCTGGGGACCTGGTCAAAGGGGGCCGCGGGCCCCAGCCGGACCGACTGCATTCAGTCCCCGAGGGCTGGCCAGCAACCTCCGCCTCCCAGCCAGCAGCACGGTCGGGGGCCAGCTGGCCCTCAACTCCACTGCTCCCCAGGAGAGTTTCACCCCGCTCCACTGCAGCTCTGTGACATTCTAGAAAGGCAAAACTGGGGGGAGAGCGGGGAGACTCACGGATGCCAGGGTCAGGGCGGGGGGGGAAGAATGGGAGTGACGATTCTTTGTGTGACCCTATAGAGGGGGCACCGGTGGGACATTTGTCCAGACCCCTAGGAATTGCGCAGCAGGAGTGTTCCCTAATGTCCGCTACGGACCTGGGGTGACAGTGGCGAGTTAGGGCAGGCTCCACCGTGCCAACCCCCCACTCCGGGGGGAGACGTGGAGCATAGGGAGGCCGTGTATGGGGGAGCAAAGGGTGATGGGAACTGTCCTCTCCATTCAATGTTGCGGTGAACTTAAAACTGCTGTGGAGCACAGCCTGCTGAGGAAGCCTCCCCTGGGGCCCCTGACTCTCTTGCACAGTGCGGCGGTGGGTGCTGGCTTCTACGGCAACAGCGAGACCAATGATGGGGTGCACCAGCTGCTGTACGCCCTGGGCAACGCGAACCACACCTTCTCCGCGATGGACGCGCTGGTAAGACAGCTGGCCGGCCAGGCCACCGTGAGGTCATGTGCTCAGAACAAGGGCCCCACTCACACCCAGCCAGCTCCGTGCCGACGGGGGCTGGACTCCCCGTGGGCCGCAGTTGGCCCTACCAGGCAACTTCTGCTCCCCTCCCAGGCAGGGGCAGCGACAGGGACAGAGCGGGGAGCAAGACGAGCCCTGAATGGGGCCTGGGGGGTGCGGGCCGCCCTGGGGTCCATCCCAGGCCTGGTCAGGACAGCTGGCCGCTGTCCCGTGTGTCCAGGGAGACCCTGAATGTTTTGAATCACCCACTGTGTTTTCCTTATTCCCCGAGTGCTGCTGTAGTGTATTGCAGGCTCCGAGAGATGTCAAGGGGGAACATTCTTCAAAGCAGTGGGGCGTCCTGGAGAGGGGGCCCCCGGCTCTGGCTTCCAGGAGTCGTGGCTGCAGCTGGGGCTCAGGGTGAGGGATCACGCTGGGCTGACCGGGAGCAGCGACTCTGCTGGGTCTCTGCCCCGAGACACGCCAGGGCACTCGGGGTTCTCAGGCCCTCCTGTGCCTGCCCCGTGAGCTGGTCCCAGGATGACCCCAGCGGCCAAGGCGCCCGGCTCCAGGGACCCTCGGGGAAGCCGCTCCGGCCAGCCACTGGGCTCCCGATCCCCTCACTTGTCCCCGCAAGGAGGGTCTTCAGCAAACGGCCGATCGGTTTACGCAGGAGCCCTGTCCCCAGGGGTCTCTGCGCCCTCCCCAGGGGCTGAGCTGTCTGCAAGCTGGACCGGGACACCCTGCCGGGAGGGTGGGGGCCAGTGGGGCCAAGGACAGCCTCGGGGCGCCAGACACGGCCTGAGCAGCACACGGAGCCCTGGGTCTGGCCTGGCTACTGCCCTCTGGCTCTGCCTCCCTCACTCCTGCACCCTCCAGCTCCAGAACTCCCCCCGAGAGCATGGGGCAGCCCAAAGGAGCACCCCCTGCCCAGGGTCCGGGGCGGTGACCCCTGCCTGTGACTGCTGAGGGAAATGCCCACACTCCCCAGGGCATTCACATGGGGCCTTAGCCCCCTCTCGGCCCCATGAGGCTTGTGTGGGAAGGTGAGCTGGGACCCCAGGCTGGGCCCGTCCACCTGAGGGCTGACCGCTCCAGGTCTGGGTGGACATTTCCAGAAAGCCAGCCTCCAAAGTCCCCGTGTGCACTGCTTGTCCTCTCTGCGTGTCTGAGAGTGAAGGCCGAGTCCCAGGCGCTCGTGAGGGTCCAGCCCACCGGGAGCTGTTCCTTCCTGGGACACCCCCATCCCCACGCCCAGGTGCCGGGCACGGGCAGCTTTTCTTGAGTAGAGGCCATTCAGGACCATGAGGCGAGGTGTGGGCCTCGCCTCGGCGTGGGCACCCCATTCCCAGTCCCCAGGACTGCAGGAGGGGCAGCAGACCGTGAGGGCTCCCCAGACCCAAGAGGTGAAGGCCCCGTATCAGACGTGATACAGATACGCCCGGGTCCAGGAAAGGTCCCGGTCATCTTCAAAGTGCCGGTCAGATGGGGGCGGCGGTGACGACGAGCGCCATTACTGTCACTGCCGTACTGCGTACATGCCATAACCGCGGTTATACTGCTGTAACCATGGCGAGAGGGGCCAGGATTGCTGGGGGCTGGGGAAGGTGGGACTCAGGAGCCAGGTGAGGTGACTCAGGCCTGGGCCACAGCCAGGGGGACCCGCCCACTCCCCTTTTCTGGACCAGAAGCCCTAGGCCTGAGCCTTCCGCCGTGCGGGAAGCTGGTGCCGGGCAGCGGGGCTCAGGCAGGCCTGACGGACTCTGGCCCAGCCGCTTGCTCTGACTGGGGGCCCAGAAGCGCCATTTTGGAGTGCCAGTGAGGCCTGCCACCGCCCCCTCCGGACCCTAGGGAAGGGGCCCCGGGCTCCAGTGTCCCGCTCAGGAGACCAGGCACACCCTCACTAGGGACGACAGGCCCTTTGAACCCCACCCTGGGCCTCTGGGCCCCAAAACCGAGGGGCACAGGGAGTTGGCGTTCCTGCCCCAGGCTGGGAGCTGGATCAGAAGCCAGAACCTTGGGCCCTGTCCTTCCCTTCGGAGAGCCAGGCGCCTCCACCCCTCTGGCTCCTGGGCCCTCTGCCCTTCAGCAAACCTCATTAAGTGTCAGCCTTCCCAGCGGTTCAGACTTGAG